CTCTCTTCTTCGCTCACACAACACTCTCTCTCCGGCTCACACACACTCTCTAACTCGCTTCACACACACTCTCTCTCGCTCCAACACACAGCTCTGCCTCGCTCACACACAGACTCTCTCTCGCTCCAAACACACTCGCTCTCGCTCACACACACTCTCTTCTCAGCTCACACACACTCTCTCTCGCTCACACACACTCCTCTCGCTCACAACACACTGCTCTCTCGCTACACACCACTTCTCTCTCGACTTACACACCACACTCTCTCTCGTTCACACACCTCTCTCGTCGCTCAACACACCACCTCTCTCTGTCTCAATCTCTCTCTTTGGCTCTCCCTCTCTCTCTCTCGCACGCGCTCGCTGGCTCTCCCTCTCTCTCTCTCGCACGCGCTCGCGGGCTCTCCCTCTCTCTCTTTCGCACGCGCTCGCTGGCTCTCCCTCTCTCTCTCTCTCTCTCTCTCTCTCGCACGCGCTCGCTGGCTCTCTCTCTCTCCCTCTCTCTCACTCACGTGCATTCGCTCGCTCACACACTGACACGCTCACATGCGCTCTCTAGTACCGCTCTCACTAACATGTATGAATATAAATTCACGCATACATACTTACGAACCCCTATATTGCTGCTGGACACATCTTCACGTAATAAAACTGCGCAGCCTTTTCACGAACACTTATGTTCCCGTTTTATATGCAGATCAAGGCTAAGGGGTCAATGCGAGTATTGACGAAATGATAGTATTAAAGAAACTTACGTATTAAGCTCAGTTTGGTTATCTCCATTGTTTGAATCATCTTCGTTCAAATTAATTAAAACTGAGAATTTTCGGCTAAAACATTCTCTTTTGTTATTTTTTAAATTGTATCTGAACCAGGTCACTTGTAGGTAATGTTCAAGTGCATGAATTGAGGGCACTGTGTACTGCCTCTGAAAAGCAAACATTCAGATAACAGTAAAAAATGAGACATGTCATTGCATTCTTTGAGGGATAAAAAAAAACTAGTATGTCGTTTTGCACAATTTTGCGACTCACGTAAATCACGTTAATGAAATTCAGCACGTTAAAGATGCCAATTGTATTTTATTAACAATGTCGATCGCGGAAGGTAGTCAGTCGCCCGTGAAAACTTTTTTTCGTGAGCTTGCGACCTTTGTCCACTGTCCCAAAACGCTTGCCAAATTGGTTTTTAATGTCATACGAGTCATATTGTGCGTGTGAAAAAGTTTCTGAAAATGATTCACGCTAGAAACTGAATCCTTAAGCGGAATTCGTTGGAGACAAAAGAAAGATTTAATTGCAAAATTC